CTTTCGACTAGTGGATTTCTGACAACACTTGTATTAAGCAGCTCAGTATTTCTTTGACGCAGCCCCATTATCTAATTTCTATAGAAAACAAACAGTGGGACCAGTGAAGTAAACGGTAATGGACCAAAGCCAAAGAAAGCATCCTTCAGAAAAAAACCATTAAAGAATGGTGTACACTTTTCTTGGGAGGTCATACTCATATATATAAAAATATGGATTAGAATATTCTCTCTTCAAGGGTAAGTACAAGACCCAAAAAAAAAAAAGAACCACACATGAAATGCCATTCTTCAAGTCTAAATCATAACAAGCCTAAGCAAATTACCACTCCTAATTAAACATGAAACAATAGACTAAAAGAACAATGATTAGGCAACATTAATCAATTCAAAGTTGTAATTAGAAACAATTCAAAGTTCAGATTAGTACCGGAGTTTTCGAATTTCCATTTGTATAGGAACCCTCTTTCTGATGCTTAGAACTCCAAATATGCGACCAAACCTCGTTGTCTAATCCTGGAAGACACTGCAAAATTTAAAGATATGATTTTTCAGCCGCAAAACTAGAATAACAGAGCAAAGCTATAGCCAGTGATCAAGCAATTAGAAATGGACACTTATGAACAGACCTTGTAGCCATCAATGCCAAACTGGAAAAGCTTAATTCCATTGGATTTGAGGAACTGCATGTTGTTCTCAGGATACGATTCTGGACACAGAGATCTTCACACATTTCGCATACACAAAAACAAACCTAAAATCAGCCATTTTTCCATGAAGAAGATATACACTCAATTTGATCTAACTATCCAAGGAAGCTTACATGATTGAGCGAAGACCAAGAGTCTTGAGGAAAGAGAAGTTCGCCGTGTCAGGAAATCCAGACCGGAATATACCATTATCGACCATCGAGAAGTTCAACGGCGGTATCAAGTCGCCGGAAACCACTAGCAACGGTGCAGAAGCAGAGACGTTGCTCCGGTCAACCACAGATACTTCGATTGTCGTCCCAAAGATCTCAACTTTATCATCTTCCTGTTCTTGTTCCGAAGTCATAAGCTTGTTCATCGTCTTCTCAATCAGTTTCATCCTCTAAACGAATCGGAGATTAGTTGAATCCAAAGAAAGAAGAAGACTTTTGATCTTCTTGTTGTTTAGGGAATCTTGGAGTGGTTATGGAGAAGGTCGTTATGATTCGAAGACGACCTTGTTGCTTTATATAGACACGCCATTGTAGAAAGAGAAACTATCTTCTCGCTCTTGTTGGACTTTT